TGATCTACCGACTACCTAGCTGTGACAAGCAACTCGCCTGGACACACCGTTGGCATGAGCTCGCCTCCAGGGCCCGTCCGCTCTTCGATGTAGGCCCCCCCTGAACCTCCACATCAACTAACTCCGATCGCGCCTACCCCGGCCAGCCTTGGACCCCTCACCAGGCCCGACACCCTGAACCGACGCAGATACATGCCCCGCCAAAACCTCGACTCCAGGCCAGCAAACATGAGCACGTGCAATATGCTACACAAGCTCCGCACCCGTGCAACTATGCTACCCCCCTCCCGCCTCCACATATAGGAAACGTTTGTTGCGAAACTCTGTTGCGCCCAAGCCAGACCACGTCCATCCCCTGTTCTTGTTCTTCATCGCATCCCATCCAATCTCCAAGTCGTCTATGGCCCTTAGTTTCTCCAATACTGTGGTAACGGTGTTGGCCTTGTTCGTTTCGTTCCCGAGCTCCTTAAGGAACGCCACCAACTTCTTCGGCATATTTCGTTTGTACAGCTTGCAGTGAGCCCACCCCCGTTGCATGCTCCTCCCCTTGCAATACAATAGCATCGCGGCCAACTGCTCTGTCACCCCGCCCCAAACCTTTCTCACAGATAGGCGTGTCACATGTGCTCAGCTGACAATGTGTCGGGGCGATCGAAGCACCCATCCAGCTACACCTAGCCAATCTACTCAAGCACTCGTAAGCAAACACACAGCAAGCAAGCAACAACGCCGCACAAGGCTCCCCTATCCCCCCCCTGCCGTTGGACATTACGGTTTGTCTTCCCCGTGTCAGCCAGCCAAGCCCTCTTCATGCCCTCGGCCAAGGTAGCCCCATGTATTGCCCACCAGAATCCCTCCCCTAAGGCCGCTGACGCCGCTGACGCACTGCGCAGGTGCTAGATGGCATACCCCAGTACACGCAGACGACCTTATACCCTCTCGTCACATGCCAAAGCCAATTAGCTACCCCATGCCCTCGATGCAGATCCCCGCACATGCTCGACACCATACACCTGACAATACAAAAGGCTTTCTGACTGAAGCGCTACACGCGCGCGAGATCGGCCCAGCTTATCATGCAGGCACGACGCGCACACCCCCCACAGACACGACGCACATGGGCTCTACTGCGTTGCGACATATCTCCCCCGGCTCCCCCCATGCCCACCTCTTTGGATTCGTCTTCATGTTGAATCAACTGCGCTCCTCCTTTGTTTTCCCAGATCAATCCAAACGTCTCCACGCTGGCCTGTCTGTCACGAATACTGGCTTCATCACCTCGATCATTCCAAGGATGCCTCTCCTGCCCCGCCGCGTTCACCCGAGCAGGTGGAGGTGGTTGGATGAAGGTACGGGGGGGGGTAGACCTGGTCGGAGCAACGGTGACTGGACACCGCTGGCACTCCTGAGCCCATGCGATGTGATGTCTAGCACCTCGACCCCAGAATGTTCCCAGTAGGAGCGCTACGATCCCCCCATCTGCCCTGGCCCCCGAATCCGCCCATCTGCCCACGACTCTCGCACCGCCGCGACAACGCTGCGAAAGACACAAGACGGGCGGATAACGCTCTGGGACGATGCGCACACCCTTGACCCACGCACCCGACTCGACACGATGGATTGCGGCGAACAGCCCAGGCCGCCTGTTTCACTCGCGCTGCCCCCCCCCATCCCCACGATTGAAAACTGGCCCTTGACGGTGAGAGCCACCGTCGAGTCGGTGGAGATGACGTAGTCGTGGTCGATCTTATCCATGTACTCGATCTTGCTGAGGCCTTCGCCGTACATTTCCTGCCAGCGCGAGGGGGCGCAGTTGGGGATACAACGCAGCTGCTCGAAGAAAGCTGCGCCTAGAAGCATGAAGAGCACGGCGACGCCGACGCGCCCCTAACAAGCCTCGTCCGCTAGGGTGGAAAGATGTGGCTCCACACACTTACTCACGCACTTAACAACTTGTGTTGCGGCATAACTACTCTCGCCCATCGCGCGCACCTCCCAACACGCAATAGCACTACCTCAGTCTGAAAACAAAACCCTAGTATTAAAAAACAAAAAACACAAATAAACAACAAACAAAGTACCATTCGGGCGGCCACGATTCCGCCATGCAGCGCCATGCCCACCCAAACCTAAATTATGCATATTTTCTGCCCCCGCACCGCACACCGCAAAACGCAAACTCGGGACCACTAGGGTGCACTTAGCGAAAATTCTGTTGCTTTTTATATTATTTTTGTAATACAACAGATCAAAATGATTTTTTTGTTTGCAACTGAAGCTGCGAAAAAAATACCAAATCCGGCCTCCCCTTCACCGAACAGTGAAGGCCTCTCTCATCCAAGAGGAGCCCTTCACCAAACGGTGAAGGGGGCCCTGGCCCCTTCACCAGATGGTGAAGATATGCTAACTTTGCGAGCCCCCCCTTCACTGATCAGTGAAGGGGCCGAGCGCTTGCGCCAACGACCGTCGACTGCAAAGCAACCCCCCTTCACCATTCGCTGAAGGACCCTGGCGCCTGCATCGACGATCGACGATGATCTCGCGAACCCCCTGCGCCGAGTGCCGAAGGGCAGAGGCATGCCCCTTCACCATGTGATGAAGGGGGCACGCCCTTCCCAGAGCGATAGCCGAGGGGAACGACCTCCGCCTTCACCGATCGCTGAAGGGATGGGCGAGCGCGCCCTTCACCAATCCGTGAAGCGCGCGCTGCACCTACGCTGCCCGGCGCGAGGCTCGTCGGCGAGCGCTGGAGGACTCGCGACACCATCGGCGCAGCTGCCCCGCCCCTTCACCACTCAGCGAAGGGCCCTCCTTGCCCAAGCGCGCGCATGACATCCCCCAAGCACGGCAGACGCGCGCAGCGCTACAAGCCCACCCATCGGCGATAAGCGAAGGGCACCCCTAAGAGCCAACGCCGCGGAGTCGGGCGGGCACGCCAGCCCCCATCGCGCGCAGCGCCACTCGCGCGGCTCACGCGCGCGCAACACCACCTGCACGAGCCCATGATGCATGCCCGCGCGTCGCACCTGGAGCTGGCACACAAAAGACGCGCGAGACCGCTGGGCAAGCAAGAATCACAAATGCACACATGGGACTGCGACGCGCACGTTCACCCCCCCCCGCCCCTCGACGCGCATGAGTGCAGGGCGCGCGTGCGGCACGCGTGCAATTGCATGAACGGCACTGCCACTCGAATACATGCGCGTCGCGCCGTGCTGACCGGGCACGAAAGCGCGCGCGCCACCGACGCGCGATGTCAACGATCAATGTGGGAGTGAGCTCGAGCGCGCGAACGCGTGGAAAGGGGTGAGAGCCAGAGCAAACGCGCGCTCGCCAGAACGAAAGGGCCGAGCAAGTGCAAGAGCGCTCCTCGACCGATCTGTCATCGTGGTTGAAGCAGGCCACCTGCGCCATGAAGGCCTCCTGGGAGAGGAAGATACACCGCGCCCCTGCAAGAGTCGCGCGGGAAAGGGGCGCTGAAAGAAAGGGCAAGAAGAGGCGATGAGGTGAAGCGAAGCGCACTCGGGAGCATCGAGTCAGGCGATCCCTATGAACGCTGCTGGGGCGCAACATGTCATCGCAATGAAAGCGCGCTTGCGCGCCTGATTACCATGACAGACGTACTCGAGCATCCCATGGGCATTGCAAGGCCGATCTTCCAAGACACGCCAATAGGCAAAGAGCACATTGCACGCTGACTACCCGCGAGGAGCGAAGCGATCCCGAACGGGGGCAAGGAGAGACGGTCGAGCTGGCCAGGGACGCGAGGGCAAAGGGGAGACCGAGGAGGGCGAAGGGGAATGCAGAGGAGGGCAAAGGGGAATGCAGAGCACAGGCGAGCGCGGAGGGCAGAGGGAAGGGCGCGAGAACACGATACAAAGACTGGAGCAACCTGCCCAGGAGACGTCATGCTGAATCGGACACTGGCACACGTTAGAGGGTAGAACTACGCGCGCCGAAACGGATGGGACAAGGTGAAGGGACTCTCGGGCGAAATAACCAAGGGGCGGCGGCAGCGAGGGCACTGGGAAAAAGCAGGGGATGGGGAGGAAGATGCGCGATGAGCTCATCCTACGAAGTGGCCGAAAGGAGGGGGGAGATGAATCGCGCAGAGAGGGCGGCCATAAGTAAAGCGTGCTGAAGACGGGGGAGCTGTGACGTGACGAACGAGGCGATGGGGGTAGGAGATGGGCGACGTCACCATGAAGAGACGAACGGGGTTGCTGGTAACTTAATACATCGATGCTTTCGCCCCCCCCCCCCCCGACGAACGAGGCGATGGGGATAGGGGATGGGCGACGTCACCATGAAGAGACGAGAGGGGTTGCCTGTAACTTAATACATCGATGCTTTCGCCCCCCCCCCCCCCCCCCCCCCACCACCCACCCCCACCCCCCCCCCCCCCCCCCCCCCCCCCCCCCCCCCCCCCCCCCCCCCCCCACCCCCACACACACTCCCCCCCCCCCCCACCACTACGCAGTCCACGCCACGAGCTGGCGTCATCGCAATTCCCTAGTGTTCTGGCCTGACATGTGCGGTACACCATCTCCCATCCTCATGGAACATCCGCGTGCCCTCCTCCGTCGCACCTGACGCGCAGTCCTCATCCCCCTCTCCCTGTACCGAACGCATGCAAACGCACAAGCCTAGATGACCGCCCGCCCGCCCTGGCCCGCTACCATCCCTGGGACCCTCCCTCAGCCCCACTCAACAAATACAAAGAGAGCAGCGCTCATCGATGGTCCTCGCACTGGCACTGCGGGCCCTGCGCGCCCGCCCGCCCGCCCATGTTTGCAACGCCGCGGCGACGTCGCCAGTACTTACCAAGGCTGATGCCGAGCGGGCCAGCACGGCACCATGCTGGGACAAATTCCACATGCATACATAAACCAGGTGGCGGTGAAGTCCATTCATGGAGACCGCGAGAAGAAGTAGACCACATTCGTCCACACGGGGTGCATTGGCAAGGTCGGCCGCTCAAGGTAGGCCCGCGGCAGTGCTCAGAGAGAGCACACTGGGCAGACGAATGCGCCGAAGTCCACGTCTGATCCCATGTATACGCAGGCGCAACGATTATGCCAGATGAGTAGGCAACGCTGGCATCTGTAGAACTGCAAATCCCCACCATCGGTTGGATCGGCCAGGTCGATCCCTGCGTCCTCTGGCCCCACAATGTCACATTTCACGCATTGCCTGGGGTCGTTGTCCTTCAGGGCGAGTGGCCCCTGGAAGAAGCGCGTGTTCCTCTCCATCTGGAGGAGCAATAGCCAAGCGTCCACGGCGGGTCTCTCGTGCTTCCTCAGCGCGTACGGCTGGACCAAACCCGTGTTCCCGATGATGACCTCGACGTCCGCGTAATCGGTCTCAGGCTGCGCGAAGTGCACCATGGACATGATCCGCCCTTCCCCGTCGATTCGCACGGGCCTGGCCTTCTGCCTGGTCGGCTGCGTCCAGAGCACAAAGGAGCACGACCCGTCTGGCTTTGCAACCATGCCGATAGCACCGTAACTCATCGGCGCGCCCCTCCTCTCTTCGGCCCTTCGGTGCGCAGCCTCGAGCTCCGCCTTCGCTAGCGACTGCCTCACCAGAATCCCACCCTCATTTGCCACGCTGGCAAGAGGGGGCGTCGCTGGGGCGGCTGGCGGAGGCCCAGCGACGGGGCTGTCGCCGCCCACGGGAAGATCGGGACCATCAGGGTGCGGACCTCCATGGCCGTGGGGGCCGTGGCCGTCAGGGGACTCATCGGGGCCGTCGTCCGAGTTGACGCCCACGTCGCCGCCGTCGTCTGCAACGGGGTCGAACTCCTCTGGCTCGGGGACAATGGCGCCCTCTTCATCCAAGTTCTCCTCCGCGGGATGGCCCGCCAAATCATCGTCGCCCCCCTCGCCTTCGCCCCCGCCGACGGGGCCCTCGTACTCGCCTTCATCATCTTCCATGACATCGCCCATTGCTGCGCCGACGAAATCCTCGAGGCCATCGTCCTCGGGCTCTCCGCCCCTGCCGATCTTCGGCGGCTTCGGAACCACCTCTTGCTCCGTTTCATCGCTGAACGTGGCGCGGTCCAACGAGAGCCAGCCAAGGGTGCCCGAGCGCAGTGGCAGAGGGGCCCGTGCGCCCAACTTGTCCTTGCCCTTGCCCGCCATCGCCATCTCGCCGATGACCTCCGTCAGTGAGATGATACGGATGGGCCTGTCCAGATGGAATATGCAGTGGCCACCGCCCATCGGGCGCAGCTTGCCCGTGGCACATGAGACTTTCTGGTGGTAGCTCCAACACATCAAGAAGGCGTGACGTTCCTGGGCCGCATCGAGACCGAACGTGAACGCCTTCTCCATGTAGTTCGGCATCAACGGCCCCGCTGCGTGGGCGTACCTTGCCGCGGCCCTGATGGCGGCGTTGTAGCGCGGGAGCGCGGGCGGCGGAGGTGGAGCCGCGCCCGCGGGTTCCCTTGCAACCACCACGGGCTCAAAGCGGTCGTGGAACTCCTGCTTGGAGAAATGGTTCATGATCGCGGGGTGGAGGTCCACGCATTCGTTGGCCCGAATAGGCGTCCCGAGCTTCAGGCGGAGGCGGTCAGAGGCTAAGGGAAGGTGGAGATTCGGCGCCAGCTTGGCCATCCGCTGCAGCACCGAGTTCGCGCCTTCCAAGTCTTGCGTGTCATGCGGGAGCTTACTCCGCCAGACGAGCAAGAAGACGAACAGTTTGGCGCTGCATGGGCCCGATGCTTCCATGCCGCGCCAATCGTCCATGAACAATTCCCTGGCCTTCGCTGCGAAGCCGCCGTTGACGGTTACCAGGTCGCCCCTGTCCTTGCGCAACAACGTCCGCGCAATGGCCCTGCGGTCGCCCGAGTCTTCGTCGCAGGGTTTATCCAGGACACGGAGGAGCAGAAGTGGGAAGTCCTGTGTGCGCTTCAGAATCCTGGCCGCCCATCCCGCCAACGCCCGCAGACCCAGCGCGACGATGAGAAGTCGGGCGCGCGGTTCGGCGCCAGCAGGAAGTAGCCCCCACACAGGCGCCCACGCCCCGCCAGCGCCCTGGGCCTCGTCCGTAAAAAGGCCTTGCAGTTGGCGGTACACGCCCCCCCCCCCCCTCCATCTTCGGCCACCAGCTGTGACAGGGGAGTCTGTCCCAGGAACGCACTTGGTTCGGCTGATTTCACCTGCTTCTCGTACTCCCCCTTCTTCTTTTGCGAGGAGTACAAATACTCGGTGAGGGGCTGCTTCACGATGTAAGAGATGTGGACCATTGCCAGCCACAGCGAATCGCCTGTCATGGCCACGGCGGTCCCCCTCCAATCCCCCTGCTGCTTCCTGTACTCAGCCTCCTCGTCGTCACCAACCTTTGCCCTTCTCTTCGCCTGCGCGTCGGCCTTGGCCGCGCCCTTCGCCTTGGGCTTCGCCTCGGCTTTGGCCTTCCCCGCGGGGCCAGCCTCATCCTTGCCGAAGGCCCGCTTGAACACTGCACCGATAAAGGTCTTGGCGGATATGATCAACCTCTCCACGGCGGCGACGCTTCCCCAGCGGCCGCGCAGGGGGCGCCCTGGCATCTTCTTGAAATACCTGTGCGCCACATCGAGGCCACCCCCAGGAACGTCGATGGCGGCCTGGAAGATCCGCGTCGGGGCCCCGCACGAGCGCCACACATTCGCCACCGTCGCCACTGTGCCCCAGTAGCGTTTGCCTTCCCTCAGCGGCCCCCAGTCGAACCCCTCCGTGCGATCTAGCAGATCCTTCACGATGAGATGCAGTTGATGCATGAAACAAAACACCGCGCAAAACATTACGCGGGCGGAGGAGCCCCGCAGGTCCTCCTTGATCTGCTTCAAGGCCCACTGGTTGCCTGGTCCAGCGTCGACGCCGAACACGAAGACGGACGCGAAGAACTTCTGGTCGTCGGACGCCGACGCCCTGCTCTTCCACGTGGGGCAGTAGACGGATTGCAAGTGGGTCAGCATGAAGGCGTGAACCTCGGGGCCATTGTCTTTGGCGACAGTGAGCAAGTCTCCTGAAACCGACTGGCCCCCCACGTGCTCGGCGACGGACGCTGGGGCAACGCCCCCAGGGCAGGCCGCCGCTTCGGAGACGTCGCAGAGGGAGCTGTGGACCATGGAGACGTGGACCTTCTTTTTCTGGATGAGCTCAGAGTTTGTCCCGTCGCATTTCAGCAAGTGGATCTCCAGCTGCTGGCTCAGGTCGACGCCTTCTGGCTCGGAGTAGAAGACCTTGGATCGTATGACCTTGCCAGCAGCTGCGCGGTGTTCATAGCTCACCACTGTGTTCTTGTCCTTGACGCCCCCTTCGCCTTCACCCGTCACCATCAAGGCGGTTGCCGCAGCGGAAGCATGTCCAACGTTCCTTCTGACGGCGAGGCAGTATCCCCCGTAGGTCGTCACGTTGCGCCCTGGGCGGAAAGTGGCTTGGGCCTTCAGGGCCACGATCTCCTGGTTGGCCTCGTAGAGGTCGACCTCCAGCCCCTCGGCTTTCTGCATGTAGAACACCCTGCTCCGCCTCACCTTCCTGAGTTCTTCCTTCAGCTGGGCAACCTCCTCGTCCCGTTGTTCCAATCGAACTGCCAGGGCGCCCCTGTCCATGCGGTCGTAGGGGACGAGTGATGAGGGCTCCGCCGCAGGCGGGCGTGCAGGGATTGCGACAACGCCCTCGTCGTCGGCTGGCACGTCTTCAATGGCCCCGACCAGCCCCTGCGACGACGACGCGGCCCCAGTAGCAAGGGATGTTCTCACGTAGCGCCTCTTCTGCGTCGGCTGCCGCGAAGGCGGACCGACCATCTCATAGATCTCGTCCATGTCCTGCGCGGCGAGGCTGGACTTCGTGAAATGGTTCAGAACATCTGGGAACAAGTCCACCTCGAAAGCCCCGTCCTCCATCCTCAGGTTGTGCACGTCGGGCCGCGAGGCGGCGAGAGTCGCCGCGTGCTTCCGGACCGACTCTCTCATCCCTCTCCTGGACAAGGGGCCCGACGAGTCTGCGTGCCCGAGGATCTGCAGCACCAAAGCGGCTGCATCTCCGTACGCCACGACGCCCTTGTGGCACAGGCCGGACATCATCCTTCTGTCGATGAGGAAGTTGGCGATATCATTCTTGAGGCCATCAGACGCCATGAGGATAAAGACGTCCAGATCTCGGGGCGCGGTTTTACCAATCGTTTTCTCTGTAGCTCTACTACACGCGCACGTGCTCACTGCTAGCTTCATGCATGTATGCCATCACATGCTGGCTATGTGCCAAGTCTGCTCTCCTGCTTTCCTTCCCACTCACGACCTCTGCAGCGTTGCTTTCACGTGAATGCGCTCACTGCTGCGATGATGCAATGCTGCTCCGACGTGCTGCATATGCGGCGCGTCTGCACATATGACCTTTTACCCGTGCATTATGCACGCAACTGTTCTCTCGCCTGCTGTCATCATCTACGTGCGTCGGCCATGCGTGCTGGACCTGTGGCCCCGGGCCCTGCGGCTGTGAGAGGGATGATCGGGCAATACTACCAGTCTGATATACCCACCCCCTGTGGGATGGCGCCTGCATAGGGCGCATGGCCGCAGGACACCCAACAGAGACGCGTGCGCCTTGAGGGTCACGCACAGAGAGGAGTCTGCAGGTGTTGCCCTTGGCCTGGCCTGGGACGTCTCCCACAGCGGCAGCCATGCACGGGCGCGCTCCCGTGCGCCAGGTGCTCTCGAGGCGAAGCCCTTCTTATAATATTACTACTTCGTTACCACCAGGGTCTACAAACGCACGCATGCACAATGGTTCACCGACGCGCGCAGTCGGGTATATAGCGCACATCACGCAGTACATATAAGTAGTTACTGAGACACGCACACATAACATATAACACAAGCATGTGTCTCACAAACACAGCTGGTCATATGTATAGCGATACCCCACTTTACATCACAATGGCACATGCACTACACGCTCATATGACTCGTGGACACATACAACGCACAGTACCACGCGTGCCACACGATGCACATGGATGCGCGAGGCCCCCATCAAAGGCTTCGCCACCGAAGGGGTTCAGCGTAAAGTGCAGGCAGAGTCCCTCCTTCCTCCCTACTCTCCTCCCCTACCTTTTCCTACCCCTCCCAACACCCTCTCACCCGCTCCTCCCCTCTCCCTCATCTCCTACTCCCTCCCATTCCCCCACCTCTACATTCACCCTCCCACACCTCCCCCTCTCTTCATCACCGCCCCCTCCCTCTCCTACCACTTCCACCTTCCCCCTACGGTGAGAGGACCTTCCCCTATCGCTCTGGAATGCGAAACGGTGCTGGAGCTACGAGGACCTCCCCCCCTCACTCTGGAATGCGAAACCCCAATCCCCGCCCCCCGGCCAGAAGAGACTGGAAGATGGTCGAGGACGCCTCGACAGTGATCACGACGAAGAAGGCGCACGCGCTCGCCTGGCAGCGCCCACGCCCTCTTCTGCTGCTGACTGCACTGGGGCCCGCAAGGCCACGGCAGGTGCTGTCGCTGCTGCCGCCGTCTCCGTCATCGATGCAACAGTTTTCCCGCCCCCCTCCCCTTGATGTCCCCCGCCGCCCAATTCCCCTGATTTCGGCAATCCCCTTCGTCGCCCTCATTGTCCTGCTGCCCTCCCACCGTCGGTGACAAGTCGGGCACCGCGGCAGTCGGGCACCATGGCGAGGTGGTGCTGGGTAATGTGTGCGAGCGGTGCTGGAGGATGTTACTTGGTGGGTGGGTGTGTGTGAAGTAGTGAAGGGTGGTGCGTGAGTGCGCGTTTGGTTTGCTTGCGGATCATTGCTTGAAGTGGAATAGTATGGGCGGTGCTCGACTGCCGTGGTGCCCGACTGCCGTGGTGCCCGACTGCCGCGGTGCCCGACTGCCGCGGTGCCCTTCGAGCGTTCTAACGCCGTGGTGCACCAGTGCACGACTGCCACCCCGAGCCTCCGCCTCCGCGGGCGGCCCTTCCTCCCAGCGTCCTCCTTGTTCGTCCGTTCGTTCGAACCCCCCTCCCCCCTTCCTCCTTGAAATAGCTATAATGCATCACTTGTTCCTCCTCCCTTCCTTCCCCCCCCCTTCCTCCTTGAAATAGCTATACTACATCACAGCTCACACTTCGTGCTTTAACGGGCGCTCTCGAGCGCACGGGCTGATGCACCTGTCTGCGGTGCCAGCAAGGGGGCGCGGCTCTACGCCCACGTGAATAAAAGGCTCATACCGCTGTAAGTGGGGCCGAAAACCGACACCCGTTAGATGATTAGCTCAATGGAGGGGACCCAATCACGGTGGCATGACAGTTCAACTCCTGAGCAACTTAAACTGGCATGAGATCTACACAGACAGACGGCACTCAGGAGTTTAACGAGCTACTTCCAGCAAGTGGCAGCCGCGCGGCGAGGACGAGGATGGCCCCAAGACCCCCAAGACCCAAGGGCGAGAGGGCCGCGGGTCCTGTCCCAAGGGAGGGGCGCGGCTTGAGGGCCGCTGCTTGAGGGCCGCTGGTCGAGAGCCGCTGGTTGAGGGCCTCGGCTGCTAACGGAGAGACGCTGCTTGAGGGCCGCGGGTCCCGTCCCAAGAAGCCAGCCCTAGAGCTACGGGCAACTGCAGGCGGGGCGAGTTGACGGATGCCACCTGGAGGTTAGTGCTAGGACGATGGCCCAGGGCAGCAATGAGAAGCACACCGCGTTTCAAGTCCACCTCCCACCCCCATCGCCCCAACGTCGTCGCTACCTCCCCCAGAAGACGGTCGTCGCCATCAGCGCCGTCGCTCGGCGACACGGGCAGCGCGAGAATGCATAGGGAGGAGCGCTGGGGGAGGAGGAGGAGGAGGAGGAGGAGGAGGAGGAGGAGGAGAGGGGGTTAGGACGGCGGGAAGTGTTAGAATGCAAAGGCGGGTGACAATGAGACGAAGATGCAATCGAAGCGGGCGGCGGCGGCGCTCCTCCAGCCCGACGTGGTCAGGCAGGAACTTCTCGCCCAACGTTGCAGGCGGCCGAGCGCGCGCGCTGGCGCGGGCCCTTGGCACCCTATCCAACCTATCCAAAGCGGCTGCGCACTGAATGAGTCTACAAGGGCCCCTAAGTTCGCGCTTCGCGCTGCGCGAAGCGCGAAGCGCAAATAACTTCGCGCCGCCTCCCACCCCAGGGGAGAAGAGGAGGGCGAGGAGGAGGACGAGGAACGAGGACCGCGAAGCGCGAAGCGCGACTAACTTCGCGCCCTCGTGGGAGCCCTTGGCCTAGTTGTGGCATTCGCCACGGGCACGTGAAGGAGAGCGGCGCAAGATGAGAAGCCACATCAATAGCGAATCAGACCTGACCCTTGACAAGCTCAACAAGCGATTGCATCACGACCGTGTCCTGCGAGGAATGCATAATTTCCCGCCCCATTTCAAGCGCGTGCCCTCGATGCGACTTCGCCAGTCCGATAGCCCCTGGGCCCTGCCGTACCAATATCACCAGCTTCCCCGAGCTACGACATCGCTCACTTCCATCCCTCATCTCCGCATCCCATCCCGCACACCCTCTGTTCCCTCCCAGTCGCCATTCGCCCATTTGCACCACTCCATCCCTGCCCTCCCAACCCCCCCGCCCCGCCCCTCCCGACTGTCCATGCACTTCCCCGCAACCCTCACAACCCCGTTGGCGCCCTCACGCACCCACCTCATCTCGGCGCGCAATCCTTTCAGCGGGTGCATGCGGCGGCCGAGGGCTGCCGGCTGCCCGATGTCCAAATGTTTCCCCGTGCTGCAGGCTACTCCGGAACTGCAGCTGCAACTGCATGTCAGCGCGTCAGTCAGAATACATATGTACATATATATATATATATATATCAGTCAACGCACAATCGAGGGGCAACGTCGCCGAGGCTGTAGCTGGCTGGGGCCTGATCGACCGCCCCTTGAAAACTGAGGTCCGACAAAATGACAAGGCTCTGATCTAATGCGAGGCGCGCCCGCCCCCACCACACCACCGCGCCCCTAACAGAAGGCTGAAATCCCAGGACAGCCTTCGGACCCTGGTGGCCGGCGGCGCTGCCCCCCAAAACGCAAAGGTCAGGCACTGCCCTGCGCTCGCCAGCAAGCTCTCTGCGACTCAGGGCATGTCTGCGTGCGTGCGTGCGCGTGTCTGTCCTCTGTCCGTGTGTGCGCGCGTGAGTCTGGGCGCGCGTGCGCGCGCGACGCCACCGCCCAGGGCGCCGAATCGCGCGCCCTGCACACGCCCGAGTGCGCAGCGCCCACCTCACCGACTGGGCGGAAACTGCGGAGAGGGAGGCGAGGCGAGAGCTGCTGGAAGGGCCAAGGCATGGGCGAGGCGAGAGCTGCTCGAAGGGCCAAGCATGCCTGCACTTCCCTGGTAGCAGCAAGCATGCAGCACGCTCCACTCTAACGACCCCTTCCCCCTCCCCCTTCTCCATTCTCCATTATCCCCCCTCCTGGCCGCCTGCCATTCCACCCGCGCCCTCACAGGGCGCGCAATACACACAAGACATGACCTACTGGCGCACGAACGCGCAGCCAACGAAAGGATGCTGGCAGCAAGCGGGGGCCCAAACGCCGTGGGCGTACTTGGACCCGTCGGTCACCACGGTCAGCCCGCCGCGCAAGGGGTAGCACTCGTCCTCGATGCACCACCAGGCCAGCTCGCTCAGCGGCGTCTTCGCGTGCTGGTTGAAGGCGTACTGGCTCGGGCCCTTGTCGTTCATGTCCACCCCCGCCCCCCCCCCTCCCTCCCCGCGCGCAATGTAGAATAGATAAAGAGAGATAGCGAGATATAGGGGGAGAGGGGGGGAGTGGGAGAGAGGGGGCGAGGGAGAGGGAAACAGAGGGGCAAAGAGAAATAGAGAGAGAGAGAGAGAGAGAGAGAGAGAAAGAGAGCGTGTGAAAGTGATACATATATACGTATATATACAGCCTGGCAGGCAGATAGGCAGACAGACAGACGGAGAGAATGCGAGAGGCACAGATGGAGAGCGAGAGAGATCCAGACGGAGAGAGGAGGCGCAAGAGAAAATGAGATAGCGATAGAGAGGGGGGCAGAGAAAGCGGGGGATGATGGGTGGCCCAGAGGAAGGGGACAGCGGCCAGGAAAATGCTGAGGAGAGCCCGCAATCCATTTCCGGTTCCCCTGCTGCCCGC